TTGATGTGGATGTTTATTGAATTGCGAAAGTTTTGAAACCACATGTGCAATATCAGGACGAGAGATTATAGATAAATACATGAGACCGCCGATAAGGCTTTGATATTCTTTATTCACAAGCGCATCATATTCATTTCCGCATTTCTTCAAATCCGAACCAATAACCCATGGCGAAGACGCACCCTTACATTCACTTATGCCCCATCGTTTTAGCAATTCTTTTGTATATTTTTCTTGATGAATACTAATATCATCTCGTGTTTCATTTCTCTCGATTTCCAATCCGAGATAAAACGATGTCGAGCCACGATCATCAACTTCAACCTGTTCGTTCAATTGGTCTATGACTGCATCCATCTCAATTTGAGAAGTCGATGTCACCATCATATCATCTACATAGACTGCGATGAAACACAAATTCTCCGCTTGACCTCCTACATACACACAGCTATTGGATAAACACCTTCTAAACTCCAATGTTTCCAAAATTTGCGTCACTTTTTTTTATTCCATTTATTCCATTCCTTTGTATTTTTCTATTGTTCCATCCGGTTTCCTGTTAACTGAGAAAACCCACCTGCAACCAATTATATTTTTATCTTCAGGTTTGTCTACTAATGACCAAGTATTGTTCTTTAATAAAGATTTGTATTCTGTATTCATAACCTTTTTTCAATAGTCAGCGTCTTCTGAATATAATGCTTCGACATAACCGTTTTTGGATTTGGAAACCCTATGCAGAATGTCTGATTTTCATCTGCAATTACTTTTTGTTTATTTTCCTTCTTCACGAATGAATTTTCAAGATATTTCACATCCCTTGCTTTTATAATATTTCATTTTGAAGAGTCGTATAATCTATAGCCCTTTGTTGAAGTTTCATAGCCGATCATTTTGTATACATTTCCTTTTGGTGCAAATTTGCCTCCGCTTCTGTCGCATCCAAATGTTCGTATATGATGAACAGATGGTTTTCTTACAAAACAACGTTCATATGGAGTTACATTCAGCAACACCTTTGAAGGTGATCTGTTTCGCAAGTAACAGGCAGTGTTCACAGCTTCAGCCCATAAAAATTGTGGTAAACCAGAATCGAATAATAAGCACCTAGCCATTTCTACGAGTGTTCTATTTACTCTCTCTGCTACACCATTCTGCTAAGAGCAATGGGTTACCGTCGTTTGATGCAATATACCGTTTTTCTCAAAAGAGGATTTAAACTTTGAGTTTACGTATTCTTTACCATTATCAGTTCTTAGTGTTTTAATTGACTTTCCAATCATGTTTTGAGCTAACGCAACAAAAACCTTAAATGCATCGATCTGATTTTTGTTTTAAGAAATATACAGAGATAAACCGCGAATCATCGACAAAAGTTATAAAATATAGTGAACCACCAAGTGTGGTTCACTATATTCGTTTTCTACGGAATATTTGAACAGCGCTTAGGAACCAGGCAACAGAACGTTTAAGTCTAAAAAAAGAACTGAAACGGGTAAATTCTATCAATGTTTCACTGGCCTGATATTGTATTAATATCGGTGTCGTAATCTCTTCTTCTTCTGGCGTGTAAGTATAAAACGAAAATGTAGCATTTGGCCAGCTATTTTGTTCTTGACGTAAAAAGGTTGGCCCTTTTAACCAAATGTTCCCATTGTTTATTTTAGGCACCTCTTTGGCTCTTGTTGCAGCGTCAGAAGGGTTCATCTTAGTTGGCACCCATCTCCATTGGTCTTCTTTCGTTGAAGTCAATATTTCAGCTATATGATGCCCAACAAATGGTTTGAGTCGGCGATTTCTTGAATTTACCCAACAAAGAACGGTTTTGGAATCAGTCCAAAATACTATACGGCTTATGTTTATGTCATGTCTGTCCACCACCAGCTTTGATAATCGAGTAGCCAAGACTGCAGCCTGCAGTTTCTTAGGCGCTGTGCGAGTCTTACCACAGACAAAAACTACATCGACTGCATATTGATGTTTAATTCGCAGATACACTGCTGCAGCAAATGTAACTTGACTAGCATCCATAAATATATGGATTTGGACCTCTTTGGCAATGTTGAGATGCGGCAAGTAGCATCTTGGTACAAAAAAATTGCCTATTCTGGCAAAATTCGTCCCACCACCGAAACCATTTTTGAGATAACGTAGGTGGTAACAAGTCGTCCCAATTTAATTTGGTTTTCCAGGTTTCTTGCAATAATACTTTGGCAATAAGTAAAAAATTCGCTAAGATGCCATATGGATCAAATATAGCCATCACAATTCCTAAAAGTTCTCGCTTTGTTGGAACCCTTTTACCCTCGATTACTTCTTTAGCTATGCGATGAAATTTTGTTAAGAATTGAAACGAATCATTTGTTACGTTCCACTGCCGATTCAAACAGATGGCCTCTGCACTTTCACATGCATTCATGACAATCTGTAGATTTAACGAATTTGATGAAAAATTACGAAGTTCAAAGCCGGCGTTTGCATTAATTTGCACCACTTGCTGACAAATTAGTAGAGCGTGCTTTTCTGTATTGAAACTGGCAACGTAATCGTCTACGTAAAAGTTCTCATTGATGGCAGATACAGCTTTCGAATATTGGCTGCGATAACTTTCGGCATTATGGTTCTTAACAAATTCAGCGCAACAGGGCGAACATACTGCTCCGAAAATCAGCAATACGACCCTGACGTGGTTTAAAAAGTATTCCTATTAATGGTTTAGCCCTTTCTGGTCCCTTCAACAATGCTGAGTTGAGAGATTGTTTATCAACAGTGGCGGCGGCATCGAAAACAATTCTCAGTTTGTCGGGCCTATGCGGGTTCTGCACAGAAAAATGCGGCCACAATACCATAACGGCTTTGTGATATCTTCAATTTCATCTTGTGTGAGTTTTCTGGCGTAACCTTTGGCGATGTATTTGTTAATTTCGGTCTTATATCGTTCTGCGAATTTGACATTATTTCTCATTTTTGCTTTGATTCCCTGCAAACGTTTGACAGTCATGGCGTAGCTATCAGGCAATATTGGTGAATTTTTTCTCCATAAAAGGCCAACCTCATAACGATTATTGATACGGCGTGTTGTATCAGACAAGATTTTACGAGCTCTCAAATCATGGGCTGACTCCAGCGGCGGTTTGGATTTTCAATTCCAAAATTTTCACAATTAAAATATTCGGCAACAATACGATCAAGACATTTAAATGATGGTTCTGCTCGGGCAAATAACAGTGGCGAATGGACGGTGATGCTTGAACCGGTTGGACCATACGCCACCCATCCAAGTTTAGTTCGAATAGCCACTGGATTAGATGCACCGGCGGTCACTGATGCAGAAGATGCATTTATGTTGGCACAATTTAGGCCCAGCAGCATTAAAGGGCGAACATCGTCATAGTCTTGAATCGGCAAACAATCAAGGTGCCCATAATCTGATTTTTTAAACGATTGTGTTGGCAGTCTTAGATTGGAAATTACGTAAACGTTTTTAATCTCATATTGTTCGCCAGCTTCACCCTAAATGTTGATATTTACCACTGTTGAGTTTTGAGTTACCTTCTCTTCATCATACCACTGCATCGTTAAGTGTTGTTTCTTGCCTTTAAGGCCTAACTGACTTGCAATTTTGGCATCTAATATAGTGATTGACGACCCTTCATCCACAAGTGCGAAAATCTTCAGTTGTCTCTTTGGACCCATAATTTTTATCGGAACCAATTTAAAAAAAAAACCGGAACATGGCTTGGCACAACTCAAAACCTGTTGAACTGATCCAGACATAGGCGGCACGTGTTGGGTCTCATGTAGCAATCTATTATGATTTTTACGGCAACCGTTTATACCGCAGGATCTTTTCATTCGGCACTGTATGACATTGTGTTGTGTTGATATTATAACTGTTACACAAACTGATTTATAAATTAAACAACATTTCGTTTTGCTCGTCAAGATAAGACTGATTTTTATTTTCATATTTTCCTTAAATCTAACATAATTTCTTATGACTAATTTCCAATAGAATCTTATCTAATGATTCTATTGGTTAATACTTAAATTACTATCGTCTAATTGGTTAACCCAAATTAGACGTATATAATGTTTTACAAAAAGTAGCTTATATACATTTATTAGTTACCTTCTATTTCACAGTGGCACACATCTGGTAACCAACTGTATTGAGGGCAAATCATATTGCATGCACGATCGCTTGCAATATGATCTGTGAAACACTTAACACAAATTCATGTGCTGAGCATGCCGCAATCCAAATTGTCAAATGCATATTGAAACAATTAAATATGCATACAAATATTTTGTCATAAAGAAATGACAAAATTCTACGAGTCAAATTTCTGACTCATAAATTATTTCATATTTGACAATTAGGGTTTTTCGGTCATGCTTGATATTTGAGTGTTTCGGTTTGGTGTGACACATTAAATATCGCACACAACGTATTGTGTGTGGTCAAGGTTAATATGCCACTACAGTGTCCTTTCCTCAAACATGAAAATCACAAACGAAGCTGCTTCACTTTTACCCAACGCTGCTGAACATTTTTACTCAAAAATGCTTCACATGTAACTATCAGAAGTTGGCCTGCACATTCAAAACATTTAACTTCTAGGTGATTTTCTTGTTCCATCTCATGGTTTTGTGCATACATAACTCGGCGCGTATAATTTTGAGTAGCTGGCATTGTAATTTTAGGCTTTTCGGTTTTTGATTGACACAATGGCTGTGGCAAAAGGTAAATTATTTTCGCCATCTCACTCAACCAAACACTAAATTGTTTTATTGTGAGATATTCCTTCGGAGTTACAGCGTGACGCGTCCACTCGAATTGTTCACTAGGCGGCAGCTTATACACTAGTTGTTCTAATAATATTGGGTTCAAGTGTTGCTCACACTTGGCTGATGACAAAAAGGCTACAACATTTCGCACAAGAGAGGATAAGGCAATTAAACTATCAACGTTCCTCTCCATCACTCTCTCGAACTGTTGAATCTTGTCCAACTGGGACCGTATTAGTAAATCTGGTCGGCCAAAACGAAATTCAAGTTCTTCCATAACTGCAGGTACATTTGATGGGTATATTAACAGTGACTGAACGACATCCTCGGCTTCATCCATTAGGCATTTCTGTAGGCGCATTAAATTATGTCTGTTGGTATACTTAAACGTTTTGGTGGTGTCTTCAAAAGTAGCACGAAAAAGTGGCCACTGTTCGGCGACTTCAACATACGACTTCAGCAGTGCACCGTTCGTCTTCATCTTGATCTATCTTACCTATTTCATCTTTCTTTTCGTGCGTTACCGACTTATCGTTGGCAAGTTGTCCATGCAAATTACTTATGTCTTCCCGATTCGAAACTGCTTCAGCTCGAACTTCATTCACTGTTTGTTGTAGAGCTTGTATGGCTTTTAACACATCTTGCATTGATGTCTGCTTTTGACATCTTGACGACACTGGAGTCTCACATGGTGATTTATTATTTCTTATTTCTTTATTTATTATTTATTATTGCGACTCATCTTTAATTTACTCACTTTGTCTTTTCCCGCGTTTTTCCCGGCGTCATACATAAATGAATGTTATTTTAACGGAAAGAAATGTGAAAACATGTAATCGGTTATGTAAATACCGAAAATATTTTGTTGACAAATAATTCTATTCTATTCGTTACAATTACTTCATTATTCATTTATTTATATTATTTTTACCCGCAACGAGCGTGTTTCACATTTGTGTGTCATTTCCGTTCTTTCTGTCTCCCCTGCTTCGTATCAACTGTCATTAACCTTTCATGCTGCCTCGCAGGGCTGCATTCAGCTCAATATTACTCAGAGTTGCTTTTTTACTGTTACAATAGGTCTTTAAGCGATTTATTGTAGTTTTGATTTTTTACAATTTGATCTGAAGCCTCTTTTCTTACTTGTATTTCTATGTTTAGCTCTCGTTTCAACAGTTTGAGCTCCCATTTCAAAAGTTCATTTTCGTTCTCCTTTAACGAATTGACTTGTACAGCAGAGACACTATTATTATTTTCTTCTCGCTCAATATTTGTGTTCATAACACTCATTCGACTCATATTCGCTGTCATTTGTTCTGTTATCATTTGTTTCTGACTTACAATTTCACTCATTTGATTCTTCTTTTTATGTATTTGTATAATTTGTTGTTCCTCAAGAATATGATTGTCATCTTCTTCAGAGTTACTATTGTTGTTGCTTGCGCATGCATCGGCGTCGGCGCCAACATGTTCCGTAAGCGTCACATCATTTAATATTTTTGCCGTTTTTCCTAGAAAAACACCACGGCGTTCCTCAGGTATTTGAATTAATCGGCGGATTAATTCGTTTTTATCACCACTTGTTTTACATCGAAGCTCCTCCAACCAAGCTGTTAATTCAACTAAAGTATGAAGCTGAAATTTTTTGATGTCAGACATTTTATTAATGCTGAGTAATCCCACTTCTGATATTTAAAGCAATAGTTTTTCTTTATTTTTCTTTACTCTTCTCGTACAATGTGTTTGTATAACTATAACTGACTCGTTTCATACTATATGTCAAAAACTATGTGTCATTTTTAATTTAGCGTTGCCACATAGGCTATATTAAATTACAAATAACTATAAAAATACATTACACGATTCATACCATATATTCTCAATTTTTATGGATATTCTTAGTTATTATATAAACAAAAAAAATTAAATCGAAGTATTTCAAAAAAAACTAATGCAATAAGTAACAGTATTCATATAACATGATTTACATATCGGTATTCCTATATACATACTTCAATTAATTATATAAAAAATTGTATGGATATTCTTAGTTATTATATAAAAGAAAATTAAATCAGAATACTTAAAAAAAAACTAAGTAAGTAGATAACTAATGCAATAAGTAACAGTATTCATATAACATGATTTACATATCGGTATTCCTATATACATACTTCAATTAACTATATACAATTTTTTTTTTTCGTAATTTATTTAGTTATTATTGTTATTGTTATTCT